TGAGTGGCTTGAAGGGGCAGGATATGAAGGTTGGTTGCTTGGATGATCTGGAGGAGATTGCATCTACGAGGAGAGTTTAGGGCTAGGAGGTCAGTGTTGAAATCTCCCATGATGATGTGATGTGAGAGCTCCGACCCTAAAGATTCCAGAACTGTTTCCAGACTAGAGGAGTAATTAACAGCGGGGGGGCAATATACTACACCTAGAATTACTTTGACTCCCTTGACACAAACCTCAAGGAATAAGTATTCCGCGTTAGTGGAAGGATTGGAAGAAGAGGCGAGAATTTTAAAAGGAAAGTAACTACGGAGGTAGATAGCGACGCCACCACCTCTTTTATCTAAGCGGTCATTGCAGATAAGTATAAAGCCAGAGAGAGGGTATGAGGTAGAGGGTAGATGGGGCTTTAGCCAAGTCTCCGAAATCAGGATGGCATGAAAGTCTCGGTTAAATCACTAAAATGACTTGGGACACTTTGCGCATTTATATGACAAACATTTAGAAATGGACGAGATTGAACGAGCAATGTTTGCCGTAATTGATCACCCAGAGTCTCAGTCAGTATAACTAACGTCTTCAGAAGAATCATCGGCAGAAAAATATTTATCAGATTCGTCATCGGTCATAAGTGGATAATATTATTACCAAAAAAAAAGAATTAAAAATAAATAAATACTATAACAGATATATAATGAATATGTACTAAAGATATACTCGTAAGTGTAGACTATATAAAATATAGGCTGGTATTTCTACACCACCCGCCAGCAGGCACACGTACAAAATTAGAAAGAAAATTTATTGGCACATGCAAAATTTCCTTACAAAAAGTGCCAATAGGTCTGCAACTCAGCATACTGTTGGATGGCCACAGGTCCTTCCAACGCTGGTTTTCAGCTGCAGCCCATAAGACTGGGTGTTGTCTGCTCGAAGCTATTCAATTGTGTGATTGTGTGCGTGTATATATATATATATGTTTGTGCGACGCATTGATATCATTAATGTATCATAATTAGACAAAGATCGATTTGTGACATTAGAACATTATAAAAATATTCTTAAATAGTTTCAATTAAAGTAAACAGCTGAAGAGAAGAAGGAAGAAAACAAACAATGAAACGAAAAAAAAAAACTTTTTACAATTTCCGAACGCACCCGAACGAAAATAAAAAGTAAATGTTAACTTGACAGCTGTCACTTGTTGTTATCACAAATTATAAAGTTGAAATGCAAAACAACAAATGTGCGTACTTGTGTTTTGAAAACAACAAACCAAATTATTTACTGGATTGTCAGATAATTATAAGTGGAGTAGGATCATTAGAACTGTGCAGTAGCGTGAGACTGTCAGTGTCTCCGCGAACCTTTGGCGGCCATACTCGAACTCGCTTTGGACGGAGATATTGCCTTAGAATATTTAGCTATAAGTAGTTTGAGCTCGTCCGGTGATGTTATTTTGTGAAGACTGTTATGGGAAGGTTTAACGACTATAGTGCCATCCTGTGTCCAGCAGGCCGACATGCCGAAATGTTGCTGGGCTCTGCTGAAGGCCGTCTGTCGGGTTTTAGTAAAAAAATCTCTTACCGAGAAACCGGACCCCTTCAACGTCGTCTTCGCCTTCCACACTGCAGCTCGAACCTCCGCTGACGAGAACCTAACTAGCACCGGGCGACGTCGTTCCTTGGATGGAGTACCAATGCGGTGACAAGTTTTGAAGTTGGATGTTGTGACATCTTTGATACCCATCTTCTGTTCAAGGATACCAAGCAAGGTCTTGATACAGTCCTCCCTTATAGCTTCAGGCACCCCGAGGAAGACAAGTGCCTTACGTCGATGTCGGGTCTTCATGATATCCACCATTTTCACACACTCGCTGATTTGCTTGCGAAGCAGACCCAGCATGTTGAACATTAACTCTCGGAATGTTCTAAACTCTTCTGAGACTCTCGCAACAGTTTCCTTGAAGTTTCCTCCAGAATGCAGTTGCGCCTCCAGCTGAGCCATCCTCTTGGAGAAACTTTCTTCTAGACTGCACTGAGCCGCTTGTATATCAGCAAGTTGGGACATTGTGATTGCAAATTCCGGATTAGAGATTAAATAGAAAAATGTAGATTTGTTGATGAAATATGTAATTGAGCCAAAAAAAAGAAAAAAGCTGGTAGGTGGCTTAACAACTTAGATTAACATATAAACAGCTTAGTAACTACGAGTGTTATAAAAAGTATAAAATTATTTAATTTATTTAGTGGTAAATAATTAAAGTATATTAAGAGCTTTTGATACTATGTATTGACTTTTTAACACACAAAAACACAAAAACCTTACCTACTACCTACTACCCACACAAAAAAAAAACAAAAAAAAAAACTTATTATTTTATTATAAAATTTTTAAAATTTACCAGATGGATGAGCCATACGAAGAGCTTGTCATAGAGAATTTATTGCAGCAAAAATTCACTAGATGTCACTATTAGGTCAACAAAATTTTTGAATAAAAAAAGGGCTCCGTTTTACACTTTCTTTACAATGTCTATATTATTGCAGCATATATGTATTGGTTATAGTCACTTGTAATTAGAATAATAAAGTCCTCAAAAAACACTTAAGAGTCATAATTAGTCAACAGTTTTTTAATTCCAGTAAAGTTTTCGAATTTGATAGCAGTTTTTTTTTCATTTCACAAATTTTACTATTTAGTCTTTATAATTTGCCGAGATAACGTTTACACTTGTCAATGGGCTAAATTTTACTTTCATTTTCTATGAGCAAAGTAGTGTCAGGATGAACCACCACGTACTATGATGTAAACAAGATCGTGGGCTCTTTATGTTTTATGATTTCTGAATCACCATTTATGAGCGGCGGTGTTCGCTTTACATGAGGTGACCCGTCTGCCCGTCTGCCCCTCTAACATAAAAAAAAAACTAAAAACCATTCCCCTGGTACGTATAACTATTGATCTGCAACTGCACCAACTTGATGAGTAGAATCGACAAGCGCTCTCTTTCTATCTTAATATATCAGAGTACTCCTCCTTACAGTCATGATTCCTTAGTGATTGTGAGTTATAAATGCGTGGGAGAGCCACTCTTTGGTACAAATAAACCGGCCCAACTGGAGTGATACAACAAATTAAAATATACATATTTCAATTTAAAAAAAAAACGACGTGAGGGTTCTATGGACCCCCCTCTGGAACCAAGTTCCTTTCGTTTTGTAATATTATGTATATCTTATTATTATTATTTTTGAGAATAGGTATAGTTATAGTTACTAGGCAAACTTTTTGATTTGAAATATAAATAATTCTATTTATTTTTCGCTTTTTTATGTTTTAAGGTAGGGAGTTTTTGGTTAAGGTTTTTTTGAAACCGTTTTTTTTTTTATTAAATTGAATAGATATGTAGTAGGATGAAATACTTCATATAAGTCGCGAGAGGTAGCAACCTACGGAAAACGACCACCTTAAAATGTTATTTCTGCTGATGCGAATAACTGTGGTTGTTCGATGCACTTATTGAAACTGGGCATAGGCTCCAAAACTATGTTAAGGCGCAACATTTCTGTTACAGATGGGCTGTCCTTCGCCGTGATCAAATAGTATCATGCGAGTTACCCGATTCATTTTTTTTTTTTCTGTGTGGAAATCCCCTCGGATACCACTTACCGGTGGCAATGTCGGACTCGAACCGACAAATAGTCGGGGCCAGACCAGTACCAGGTGTACTGTGGGTGTGTAAAGGAAATCCCTGGTGCCCCGACTACTGGTAACTGAGACGGCGTGCGGTTTTAGTCGAAACCCCCATGTTCCCATGGGTGTTCCGACTAAACCGGGGGTTCCCTCTTTACATATTCTTTCCATCTGTTCGCGAACGGTTGTCGAGGACATGGCTTGAGGTGGATCACTGTGTCGCTCAATTTCTTACGGGTCATGGTAACTTTAAGAGCAAGCTGTATTTATTTAAATTAGTCGATGCATCCTTGTGTCAATGCTCAACACCTAACTCTCACTATGAACAGTCTGCTCATCATATCCTCTGGTAATGTAGTTGTAAGTGAGGTGCGGGGTTGCTAATCAGTAAGTAGCAGAGAAACACACAGACACGGGAATATTGACTATTTACTCACATTATTACTGCTACAAGAACTTCACTCCGGGAAGGCTAGCTATGGACTGCCTGGCGGGGAGGCTAGCTATCGACTGCCTGGAGGACTAGTGCAACGTGCATTTCAGGCCATGTGCAACAGTCCCCCCACTATCCTTTCCCCGAGCCCATGCAGAAACGCGGCGCATACACAATAAAACAACAATAAGGGTACAAAACAATACTAAAAGATACAGTCTTACAATAACCCAAGCCGTGCTCCTTAACACCACCCCCCAGTTGGAGACTTCAATCGACAAATGTGCCGTCAGTAGGTAGCACGGCTATTCGAGCAACGGGTCGACGCAGCGACCCGGCAGGTGTCTTTATATCTACCACACGTACATGTCCATCACTTCCCGGGTACACTTTAGTTATTACGCCACGGGGCCACATATTACGCGGTTGTTTGCCGTCACATAACACAACCACATCACCTACTTTCACAGAGTTCGTAGCCGTGGTCCACTTTTGACGTCTCTGAAGAGTGGGCAGGTACTCTCTTGTCCACCGCCTCCAGAACATCTCAGCAAGCCCATTCGCCTTCTTCCATAGGCGACGAGCATCGAGGTCGGAGGGATCATAAGTTGTCAAACAAGTATCACCTGCCTTTGTACCAAGCAGTAAATGATTTGAAGTGAGCACTACTGGCTTTTCCGGATCAGTTGTGACGTAAGACAGAGGGCTATTCACTATTAGCTCTGCTTCCAAAAGGACGGTGTGAAGCACTTCTTCGGATGGTGCTCGCTCTTTAAGAGTAGCATGTAGGGCATTCTTTACAGAGCGAATAAGCCGCTCCCATGCACCCCCCATGTACGGCGCAGCAGGCGCGTTGAATCGCCAATCGATGCCCTTAGCTAAAGCCTCGCCTCGCAGTTGATTGACATTCAGGCCTCGCAGAGAAGCACGGAGTTCCTTGTTCGCTCAGAATTATCGCAGGTTGCCCGCGACGCGCTATTAAGCGGCCTAAGGCAAGTATGGCAGAGTCACTGCTGAATGATGCAGCCAACTCCAGATGGACGGCGCGTGTAGTCAGACATGTGAACAACACACCCCAGCGTTTCTCCCGGCGCCGTCCTATAGTGATTTCCATGGGACCAAAATAATCGATCCCACAATTAACGAATGCTCGCCGAGTGGTGGTGAGCCTGACGAGTGGTAAGTCATCCATCTTCGGAGGGTTGGGCTGCGCGCGTTGTACCCTACAATGCTGGCAGCGTGCAACGACAGCCTTCACAGTAGGCCGAATGCAAGTAACCCAGAACCTCTCTCGTACATTGTTGACGACTGTCTCGTGGTTGGCATGCATTGCACGTTCATGGTAGTGCTGCACAAGGAGCCGTGTGATGGGACAACTTCCATTAAGGATTACGGGGTGTTTCTCGTCGAATGATAATTCCGTTGAAGCTCCAAGGCGTCCCCTGACACGAAGCAGCTCGTAGTCATACACCGCGGGGTCGAGTTTCAGCAAACGACTTGATTTAGGCAACAGAAGCCCAACTCGCAGCGTGTTTAGCTCTTCTGGAAATGATCGTGCCTGCGACTGCTTAAGTAAGATACGCTCAGCTTCCTGTATATTGTTTATCGTGAGCGTACTTACTGCTATCCTCTGCTTGGTTCTATAATAATAATAATAATAATAATAATATATTTATTTGTCAGAATATGGGTTTACAGAGTTGTTAGTAGGTTCGTTTTAGATGCTAGCCACATTCTACCATTATCTGGTGAACAAAATGTTAATATAGTGAATTTACTGTTTTTTTTGTTACAATTTAATCATGCATTATTTAGTAATATAGTAATAATTATGTCACAATTTCTCATCGTCAAAAAATTCTTTGACACTGTAGAAACATTTATCTAAGAGCAACGTAAATAATTTTCTTTTAAAAACATTAATGGTGTCTTCCTTAAATCTATTTGGTAGCTTGTTATAAATATGTATAGCCATACAGTATACATTCCTACTATACATACTTATTCTTTGTCTGGGAACTAAGAGTTTATGTGTGTTTGTGTGTTGTGTGTTATGTTTACAAAATAGCCGTTGATGTTTGTGCACAAAAATACAAATCTCATAAATATACAGACGAGGTAGAGGTAGTATGTTGTATTTCTTAAAATGCTCTTTGCAACTATCGGTTTGCTGTAAGTGCGATAGTGCTCGCATACATTTCTTTTGCACAAGAAATGCCCTATTTGCCTCAACTGAATTGCCCCATATTATAATCGCATATCGTAGTTTTGACGACACATAGCCGTGGTATGCACTTAAAGCAGTGCTAAGAGTCGATATTTGCTTAAGGCGATATATAGCGTAAACAAATTTATCCAAATTCATGCAAATGTTCTGAATATGCTGCTTCCAATTACAGTGTTTGTCTATTGTAATGCCCAAAAATGACGTCGCATCCACTTCTTCAACTACATTATTATTACATTTAATATCTAATTTAATGGGTTTACTATTGTATGTCTGAAATTGTATCATTTTCGTTTTATTAACATTTATTTTAAGGTAATTACATTCTAACCAATTGATAATATTACCCAGTTCATTGTTTATCTTATTCTCTATGTTATTTTTATCGCTATCTTCTATAATTAAGGTAATGTCATCGGCGTATAGTACGCATTTATGCTCAGTCACATTCGGTAAATCGTTTATATATAAAATAAACAATAAAGGCCCTAGAATACTCCCCTGAGGTACCCCAGAACTATTTAGTCGTTTAAATTCGGTTCTAGAGGATGTTTTATATTTACCAGAAATGCTTGATATCTCTACACATTGATATCTGTTATCTAAGTAGCTTTTAAGCCAATCTAGTGCTTTTCCACGGATTCCATATCTCTCAAGCTGATGGAGTAACAATTTATGATTTACAAAATCGAAAGCCTTGGACATGTCAAGAAATATTGATACTATGTTATTTTTTAAATTGAGATTGTCAGTAATTACTTTCGTTAAAGTAAAAGAAGAGTAGAAGTAGAAGAAGAGTGTTCTTTTCGGAAACCGTGTTGTTCAGGTGTGAGAATGTTATTTTTTTCTAAATATCCATATAATTTAATATGCATTACTTTTTCAAATAATTTTGAAAATATTGGAATCAACGTAATGGGTCTATAATTATTCATGTCATTTGTATCGCCCTTCTTATGCAAAGGTTTGACAACCGATAGTTTTAGTCTAGCAGGTACGTGTCCCTGCATAAGTGACAAATTAATAATATAACATAAGGGAGCAGAAATTATTTTGGCGCATAATTTTAAGATTAAGAATGTATTTTACATAATTTTAAGAATTCTGCACGCGGTTATGAAGGTGAGAACGCGTGCGAAGACGCGCAACGCTCTCGTCCACGTGGAGTAGCGTTTCACGTCAATTAGAGGTTCAGGGTTGTCACCCACTACTAACACCCTCTCGAAGCGTTCTATGTCATCAGCAAGAAACTCCTCACGCTTGTAGCTCGGCCATGGCACCTGTGGATCATAGAGAAACGGGGGACCCGAAAGCCACATGCCCTTGTTATTAGGCCAGTCCATCCTTGTCGCTTCGTCAGCAGGGTTGGACTCGGAAGGCACCCAGTGCCAGTTACTTCTCTTACTTAAGCTATCAATTTCAGCTAACCTATGAGAGACGTATTTTTGATAATCTCGTGCATCAGAATTGATCCACATAAGAACTGTCTTTGAGTCAGTCCAGAGGTTGTTGATAACGAAATCGACTTCAGCTTTTACGGTTACGGCCAATCTGCATGCCAAAACCGCTGCCTGTAATTCGAGACGCTGAATTGACACTACCTTCACGGGTGCTACGCGCGCCTTGCCAGCTACCATTGTACATACCCTATTGCCCTCAATATCGATACCTACTAGAAATGCTACGGCAGCGTACGCCTTTTCGCTGGCATCTCCAAAGACATGAATATCTACGGCTGTCCGTTGCAATCCGTACCACCGGGGTACAGCTACATTCGATAGAGCTTTTAGTTGGTTCAGCCACTGAAACCAAATAGTTGCCTCGGGGTCCTTAATGCACTCATCCCACAGTATTCCCGACTGCCATATACGTTGCATAAGGACTCGAGACTGGATAACGCATTGATACACTAGCCCAAGTGGATCAAAAACACTCATAATAATCTTAAGGAACTCGCGCTTAGTAGGCTTGGTCTGGCCTTTCACTAATTCTGTTGGTAGTATCTTGAAGAAGAGGTCAAACTTCATGCATTCGCTCGACGGACACCAGATCATTCCCAGTGTGCGCTCATTCTCAGACTTATCTAATTTGACTCGACCCGGAACAACGCCTGGTAACTTTTCTCGTAATTCGGGTGAATTCGTCACCCACCCCCTGATATCAAAACCACCGGCTCGGTGGATGTGGGTGACGTCCGTGATCAGTCGTTGTGCCACGTCGACAGAGTCCGCACTATCTATATAATCATCTACGTAGTGCTTTTTCCGTATAGCTTCAACCGCGACAGGATATGTCTCTTTAAACTCTTCCGCATTTTTATTTAAGACATAAATTGCTGAAGTCGGGGAGGAGGCTGCACCGAAGATCATTGAGGTCATGACGTAAATCGAAGGTTCCTTAACTCGATCCTGACCGCGCCATAAAAACAGTTGAGCAACTTGATCCGCCTCGAGAATTTTAATTCGCAAAAACATGTCCGCGATGTCAGCAGTGAAAGCTATACGGCCTGTTCTAAATTTAATTAGGGTACCTAGCAAAGAATTCATTAAGTCGGGCCCGCTGAGTAAATTATTGTTCAATGATGTACCTTGGTACGTGGCGGCAGCATCAAATACTAAACGCAACTTGCCCGGCTTATTAGGGTTTAGAACTCCAAAGTGAGGTAAATACCACGCGGGACTTGCCTAACGCCCTCAGCTTCACGCGCGTAACCAGAAGCTAATAAGCGATCTACTTGTTTCGTATAGGCGTCCGCAAAACAGGGGTCACGATCTATTTGCCTTTCTATCCCGGCTAGGCGTTTACGCGCATATTTATAATTATCGGGCAACTCTACATTATTACGAGACCATAATAAGCCTACTTCCCATTGGGGGACGTTATCTGACACGCGGCGACATGTTTTACCTAGTATTTGTAACGCCCGTTCTGAATTACAATTTTTACGCAGAGCTTGTGTAATACCAATTGCTTCTAGTTCAAATTGACTTTTAACTAACTCGTGTAAATCGTCGTGTGGCGTGGATATGCAATTAGCGAAGTCGAGTTCACTAACATCAAACCCCCCACCTAGCGGGCCATGGACGACCCAACCTAGGCTAGTAAGAGAAGCAACTGGTCGACCAGATTTACCTTGACGAATCTCCCTTCCAACTATGAGCTTCCAGTTGTCCTGCCCCAACAACAACATAGGCTTCGCGTCCCTCATCTGGCTGCAATCCAGGTCCCGCAGGTGTGCGTTGTCTTCGAGCACTCGCGCCGGTAACGCTTAAGACGGCAAGTTTACATTACGCAGAGAACGCACTGCAATGTCATGACTCACTCCGTTCGGTCCGCGCACTACGATCTTTATATATCGTGAGTTGTTGTCGGTCACACAATGGCCGCGTGCAGTTATCAATTTAAGAGGCACTATTGGTCCGTCCACATCACTCGCGAATTTATCGTCCAAGATTGAAACGGACGCCCCGTCATCTAATAAAGCGTACGATGATCGTTCAACACCAGAACTAGTAACTATCGTCACCGGTAACACTTTTAATAAAGCACGCGCACGATGCTCACCAACGTTCGTAATAGTTTCGTATGTAACCGGCGGTGAATTCCTGAGCGCAGATGGTACAGTCGACGGTGGCACATTTGGCTGTGGCACTACCTCAGGCGGCCACGCGTTCTCGGTTCTTTTATGCAGTAACACGTGGTGTGACCAGTTACATTTACTGCAACGTTTAGCACGAGAATACCTGCTCGAATAACTCTTCGCAATGCACTTGAAACATAGATTGTTTCGTTTCACTAAATCCCAACGTTCATCAACAGTCATATTTTTAAAGTCACTACAGTGCGTTAATTTGTGCTCCGCTTTACATTGAACACAAACGACGTTATTGTGGTTACTCTCGGTCTTAGTGACTGCGGCGATTGTTTCCATTGTGTGCGTATGCACACGATGACTTGACCCGCCCGCTCGCACTGAAACCACGTGCTTATCTCTATCGCGGCGACCAGCAACGAATGGTGCGCGCTCAGCGCCGGCACGGGCACCGAATTTACCACTGACATTAGCACGACTTTCATTAGCGTCGTTCAAGCTTATCAGTGCATAATATGACGACGCACGTGTCAACTGACTGAGAAAGTCCAATAAAATTTGGAGACACTCTTAAATCAACACTACTATCCAAACGCATCGCGAATTGTCCGTACTGCGCGCGTTGGTATGGTGTTAATTTACCTATTAGTTCGTTGACTAATTGCGGGTTATTTAAATAACCGTCGGCCCGTATACTTTGTAACACAGACACACAATTACGTACTGTAGTCGTGAATTTGCGTATTGCGAGTCCATCTTCGGAGACCTTAGGTAAATCACGCACTTTCTTAATGGCACACTCTAACAGGCGAATAGGATGTCCGAACTCATCTTCGAGGGCTTTCATGACCTCCTCGGGATCAGAAGAAGTTCTCAACAGGTCGCGGACGGCAGCTTTAGCTTTACCAACGAGCGCCACCCGAAGGCGGGCCATGTTCTCAAATGGTTGGAAATTATGCATCTCGCTGGTACTACGGTAGGCTTTCTCAAAACTGAGCCAATCTGCAACGTTACCATCGAATGGAGGTATTTCGTGTACCTGTCGTGACATACTTCGCGTCTGTCCTAGCTTGCTGATGGCCTCCGCTAGACAATTAATGTCAGTTTGAAACTGGCTATTTGGTGATGCTTGGGGTGGTGGCTGCGATGACGTGGGTTCGAGCGCACGTGTTGCAGGCAACCACGTGTGGACGCCAGGCGCAGGGCCCTTGGACGCGCGGGGGCCGGCAGGCGCATCGTTAAGCCAACTCGTAGCACGTGGTGAATTCTCACCGCTTGCAACGCTCGCCAGCGCGTTTTTCTGTTCTTCTTGGGGCCCACGTGTCGGGGTGGCAGGCAACCACGTGGTGACGTGGTGCGCAGGGCGCTTGGATGCGCGGGGGCCGGCAGGCGCGTCGTTAAGCCAGCTCGTAGCACGTGGTGAATTCTCACCGCTTGCGACGCTCCGCCGGCGCGCTTTCCTGTTCTTCCTGGGGCACACGTGTCGGGGTGGCAGGCAACCGCGTGGTGACGATAAGCGCGGGGCGCTCGGATGCGCGGGCAGCGGCAGATACGTCGTCAAGCCAGCTCGTAACACGTGCTGAAATCTCACCGCTTGCGACGCTCGCCGGCGCATTGTTCTCTTCGTCTTCCTTCGCTGCTAGTTCCGCCATGTCGAGTGCTAGCTTCTTCTTTATTAAGGTTTCCTTTACCTTAGCCATCTCGACCTCCGCCTCATATTCGGCACGCATTCTTAGTGCTTCACGGCTTGCCCGGCTAAGTCTTGTCGACGCGTGGCTAACACTGCAAGGCGCGCGCACTGTGTGCGCTGAAACCGATGTCATCTCCAATGGCGGTAATTCACCGTGGTCACTATGACCACCCACCACGGAGCTCCTGGCAGGCTGCTGAGGCTTCGTTGGCTGTACACTGGAGAACGACGAAGCACGCAATTCCGAATCTTGACCGATCGTATTCTCCATAGCTCTTGTTGCACTCCGTGTCTGTCGCATTGTACTGTTGTAACTCATTGCTTCTTATTCTATCCGGCTCGAAGGACCAGTTTTGTAAGTGAGGTGCGGGGTTGCTAATCAGTAAGTAGCAGAGAAACACACAGACACGGGAATATTGACTATTTACTCACATTATTACTACTACAAGAACTACACTACGGGAAGGCTAGCTATGGACTGCCTGGCGGGGAAGCTAGCTATCGACTGCCTGGAGGACTGGTGCAACGTGCATTTCAGGCCACGTGCAACAGTCCCCCCACTATCTTTTCCCCGTGCCCATGCAGAAACGCGGCGCATACACAATAAAACAACAATACTAAAAGATACAGTCTTACAATAACCCAAGCCGTGCTCCTTAACAGTAGTCTTTGGTATAATGAACGTAATATAATGCTGAATAGCTTGCAAGTGACATTTGGGGCGGTATACTATGGGGATCTTGTGTCAACTAGGGTTTTGGGACCGGAAGAGGTTTAGAACTATTAGGCTCGGGAACGGGCCCGATACCGCAGACGACTCAGGCACCGGAGGTCGCAAAATTACTTCCGTCCTCCATAAGTGCATGCCTAGGGGTGACAGGTGAGGCCATCTGTCACCCTAGCAGAAGCAGGCCGGGGTGGTAGCGAGCGCGTTGCGAAGCACCTTCCGGGAGCACAGACATATCTCGGGTCATCTACGGCGGGTAGACGACTCCCCCTATGTTGGAACCCCCATGGGAACATAGGGACTAATCCCACCCACACGCCCATCACTGTAACTCCTGTACATCAGGATCCACAGAAGTGACCCACGAACACACTAAGTTATGACACTCGGGAAGTCCCAGGAAGAAATTAAACTGTCTTGGAACCCGCAACGAAATTAATCAGAAGAAAATTGCTTTAAAGAATTGCTCGAAATTTGCTTTAAAGGTGCGAAAGCCATCTTAGGCGTAATTTACTGTCCCCCCACTGTTGATTACTTCACTGATTTAGAATCGGTTTTTGAGTCTATAGGGTTTGAGTATGTGCATCACATAATCATGGAGGATTTCAATACTGATCTCCTTGATACCTCCAACCCTCGAACCCGTAAGCTCCGTTACCTGATAGAGTCTGCCAATTTTCATGTTCCTACCCTCCAAGCAACACACCATAACAACTCTGGGCATGATACTTGGTTAGACTTAATCCTTACCTCTTGTCCTTCCCTTGTGTCCTCTCATGGCCAATGCCCTGCTCCTGGACTTTCTCATCACGACCTTATTTTCCTATCCTATGTTATAAAAACCCCCAGACGCAAGGCGAAAGTACTT